GAGCTGCCTCAGGGTTCTCCAAGACTGTAAATCTCTTTGGAGGCAGAATGCCATCTCGTTCTCTCTGTGGCTGTCCTATGCAGAAGTGTAAGACTGCAGAGCTGCCCGGCAAGTTAATGAAGCCAGGAGGGGAGGACGGGGAGGAGGAGCTGCCGCAGGGGCTGCAATGCATCCTGCAACCCGGCTGCTGCTGATTCATTATTCAGTGGTCTGAAAACCATTGCTGTTATGTGCCGTACAGCTGGTTCTGACTCAAAGGGACCCAGTGTAGGGTTTCCAAGGAGCGGCTGGTAGGTGTGAACCTCCAACCTTTCAGTTCAAACTGCAGCACCACACCATTGGGGGAAATCATTTAAAAAACAAAACAGAGCTTCTTTCCCTTAAAAAAGCAACAAAAAAGCCCACCATAAGAAACCACAGATGCACATGTGGTGTCTAATAGGATGTTAAGCGACATATAATTCCTTTAAATGCCCATCTTTATATACCCATACCAAGTTCCTTACATTATTCTTATTGTCTTATTTCTGGTAAGCAGTGCCACTCCTGCCTGGAATCTCCCTCCTCTCTATTCTTCTTTCCCGGACTTCACCAAATCAGTGTTTTCTGAAATCTAGAATCTGTTGCCTGTGCCAGACTTTTATTTGGCATATGCTGAGATACTATCTCACTATTTTACAGTCAAATAGGACCCATTTTCCCAAATTGGCACACTCCTGCTGCTTTTGAATGTTACTTGGCTTAGTTTGCATTGTTGCTGTGAAGTGCCATCCAGTCAGTGCCAACACATGGTGACCCTGTGTGTACAAAGTTTCCAAGGAGTAGCTGGTGGGTTTACACTGGCAAACTTGTGGTTAGTAATCCAGTGCTTATCCTACAGTACCACATCAAGACTCCTAGTTCACATTAGATGCTCAGTAAACACCTTCTGAATGCATGAGTAATCATAAATGACACTGAGAAGCTATGAAATATGGGGAAGCAACAGAAGTAGAGAAATCCACTTGGCATGCACACAACAGCCTAAAAAGGAATGACTCATTGTGATCCAAAGCACTGGGCAGCCTGCGACACAAAAAGGCATAAAACCAGCCTCATACCCTTCTTTCATCATTTAGCATATATTTAGTGAGCACCCTACCAGGTGCCAGAGGCACTCTTGAAGTCACCAGAGAATAAAGCAAAGCCTGTCCTCATGGAGCTGCATTCTAGTGGGAACAGCACATCTTGTTTTATATAAACTTGCTAAGCCCACATCATCTGCTCAGTTTCCCATATGTCTACTGTATTCCACTTTGAAAAGCTTCTGCCTGAACATGAACAATTCCTTCTTTTGATTTTCCTCACATACAACACATTACAAGAAAAGGGGTTTAGACATTTTGATATCTTCAAAGTCATAAAGAATATCACTGCACAGTAAATACAAAACTGGAATACATTACAGAAAAGGCAACCTTCAAAATGGCACACCTAGTTCATCAAAACAACCCCAAACTTTACTGATTTCACATAAACTTCATAGAAATAAAAGAGTAAACTCCACAAATACAGCAAACCAACTGATGCTCCGTCGTTCTACTGCGGAGATACGTAGTTTGAAACCGCAGATATAAGGGTATACAGATCAAAAACTCTCATGTCACCTAGGAGCCTCCTTTTTCTTGTTAGTAAACTTTATACCAAAATTCACATGGAAAAATGAACCCAGTGCTATCATACTCCCATTTACATGTGGCTAATGGAGTCCTGGTATGGCACTGTAGGATAAACAATGGACTTCTAACCATGCGATTGGTGGTTCAAACCCACCAGTCGCTCATTGGAAATGCTATACAGGGTCGCTAGGAGTCAAAACTGATTGGAATGCACTTAACAACAACAATGGGACGCAAAAGGAGTTCTGGTTGCACTGTGGGTTAAGTGCCTTGAGTCGGCACCAACTCATAGAGACCCCCTATGCACAACAGAACAAAACACTGCCCAGACCTGAGCCAACCTCACAACCATTTCTAAGCCTGAGTCCATCACTGCCGCCACTGTGCCAATCCATCTCATTGGGAGTCTTCTTTTTCTCTGACCCTCCATTTACCAAACATGAGATCCTTCTCCAATGACTGGTCCCTCCTGGTAATATGTTTGAAGTATAGGAAACGAAGTCTGCCCATCCTAGCTTCCAAGGCATTCTGGCTGTACTTCTTTAACACAGATCTATTTGTTCTTTTGGCAGTCCATGGTACTTTTAATATTCTCCTCAAACACCATAACTCAAATGCATCAATTTTTCTATGGTCTTCCTTATTCATTGTCCAACTTTCCATGCGTATGAAGTAACTGAAAATACCATGGCTTGGGTCAGGTGCACCTTAGTCTTCAAACTGACACACCCTTGTCCTTCAACACTTTAAAGAGGTCTTGTACGCTCTACAAGGTAGGTCAGTAAAACCCAAGAGCTGCTCTGTGGGAGAAAGATGTCTGTTCCCATAAAGGTTTACAGTTGAAATCAACTCAATGGCAGTGGGTTTGGGCTGGTTTAATGTAAGCAAAGAAGAGTTTCTGCTCAGCCATTGCAGTTTCCCCTAGTTGAGATAATACAAATTTCCTAACTGCCAGTTCTTTCATTGTTTGGCTCTTATGTTTGAGTTTTTGCTTTAAAGGTTAGCATTCTAGTGCCTGTGGGCTACATTACAGCTGGGTTTATCTAACATGCTTGTAGTGTACACTGCTGTCTCAGCAGGACTCCCTCCTTTCATTCTCAAATGTATCCTGCTTGGAATGATACATTCTGTCATACCCTTTTTATATAAAGTACCTCGTATTTTCTTTGGATTTATGTTGTTGTTGATGTTAAGTGCTATGGAGTCAGTTCCAACTCAAACTAACCCACAGGGTTTCCAAGGAGCAGCTGTTGAGTTTGAACCACCAATCTTGCGGTTCAAACCGAACTTGCAATCTGATGCAGCATTCCCCAGGACCACACCAGGACTGCTTTGGATATATTGTCGTTGTTTTTGTGAAGTGCCATCGAGTTGGTCCTGACCCACAGCGACCCTGTTTCTGAGGAGCAACTGGTAAGCTTGAACTGCCGATCTTGCCATTTGAACCAACCTTGCAGTTCGGTGTATAATAGGCATAAAAGGAACTGAACAATTATTAAGAAAATATATGCGATATAATTTACAGCATTTTCGTACTATGCTAATCTAGTACTGTTCTTGCTGTTTTAAGTACTTTCAGCTCCTGTAACTCTTATATAAATCGTCACATGAATTTAAACAAAAAGGGACATGAGAACTACAACCCCCCCGCCCCTCCCCCCCCACGTCTCCCACAATGGCTGTAAGCCTTGTTACACTATACATAGGATGGCATGCTACCAGTCTGGAAGTTCATGGTGGGAAATGACTCAAGCCAATGAGCCAACATCAGTAGTCTACACAGAGAAATCCTCCATCCCAGAACCACAAAAGTTGGAGTTCTTTTGAACCTACCTTCAAATATCATCAAAATCCAGTCTTCTGTCATCTTTCTGACTAGCACTAACTTGGTTCAGCCATTCAGACAGTCTTTTATCTGGGTTATTAAATCAGTCTCTCTCTATTTTAAATTCTACTTCCAGACTTTACACTTTGGCCAGAATGATCGATCTGAAACAAGTCCCTCTATATTCCATCTAGCTTAAAATTCTTTAGTATTCTGGTGTGACGCTGTGGGTTAATGCACTGGACTGCTAAGTTAACAGTTCAAGATCACAGATGACTCCCTGGAAACCCTATACAGGGTTACTACAAGTCGAAACCAACTCCATGGCATTTAACAACAACACCATCACACAAAGCCCAAATTTCTGATCACAGCATACAAGACTCTGAAATAACTAACAGTAGCTTACATTTCAAATCATATCTCTTGTGCCATTCATTCACTCAACAAACATATATTGTCTACCTACTATGTGTCATGCATTATTTTAGCACATGATGTACATGTGTGTCAACAAGATTTTCTGACAGGCTGGATATTGGATATGAGAGAGGAGTCAAAAAATGAACCAAGGTTTTTAGATTGAGAAAAGGGAAGGGCAGAGCTGGTATTAATGAGATGGGGAAGGGTGGGAGTTTACTTTGTGACATGTCTGAACTGCCTAGTAGACATCGGAACATAGATTTAGATATATACATTTAGAAGAGAAGAAAGATCTGGCATAATTGTTGTCACATGGAGGGAGCTGCAATCATTGAGATCAAAGTATATGATCTGTTGAACGTACAACTGGTGATCTTGTCTGTCAATCATTAAATTTACAATAAAAAGTTTCTTAAAAGTATCTGGGACACAGTAAGAGCTCAATGAATGAATGAATTTATAGTTCCAAATTATATGAGGCTGAAGTATATTACATATAAACCATGAAACTGATATGACTCATGTCTTCAATGTTTAAAGAGTTGCTCACTTTTCGAAAGTCATAAAAAGCAGGGTATTAAAATTTTGAAATCATTATCTTTAATTACAAAAGTGTTATACACATACAAAAGTACAAGAGGGTGGGTAGACTGAAGCAAAATCCCTATCAAAGTACAGAAGTTTATAAAACTTCTCTGTAGATTAAGAGAAAAGGATGGTGTTATAGTAACTACAATTGCGTTATACAGTACAATATTTTAGATACATATTCACCATGGAGTAATTATAGCCTTTGAAAATAAAACAGTATGAAAATGTTAGGGCATGTCTTTAGAAATTCAAGATTTAAATGACTACTAGAAAAAAACTAAAAAACTTTGATCCCAGGATATAACTTAAAGTACCTCAAACAAACAGCCCAGATTCTGAAAGTTCCCCAGTGCCTAAGAACCTCTGACTTGGCTTTTAAAATAGCCTCAGAAGCAAACACTTGCAAGAATAATCACAATTTTCATATAGTCAACAGGCAATCTTATACATACATCTCAGTCCCAAAAAGGAAATATATCATTTTAAAGTTTAAAAACACCAACCTCTTTAATCTCATGTAGTTTTCACTAGCAGCAGGTCGGCATTCAGCTCTTTGTACCACTATTCCTTCCAATGAAAGTTTATCTTGAATAGAAAGAAAAAAAAAAAAGAAAATATATTCAGATTACACTGATCATTTTCAAGATAGCTTTTTTTTTTTTTTTTGACACATCTACCTCGGAAACCCCATACAGGGTCGCCATGAGTCGGAACCGACTCCCCAGCACATAACAACCACAACCATAAATAATCTAATACAATTAAAAAGTACATTTGAAAAAAATTTTTTTTTTTTTTTTTACATTTTTATTGTGAATTGAGTGAAAGTTTATAGGGCAGATCATCAGTTTTACATTCAACAAATCATATATCTTGTTTCATTACAATGACTATAATCCCCTCCATGTACCATCAGTTAGCAGTATTTCTCTCTATTTTAAGCTCTTTTTTTGTTGTTTTTTAAACACTCAGGCATATATAATAATTTAAACCACGAAAGGGCACATTCTGCAAGCCTGCCTCCTGGCCACCAGCTCTCAGTCCCTCTCTTTCCATGAATCTAGAATCCTTAGCTGCTCCCTTTCCATGTCCTCATCTCTGCCTACATGTCTGGTGTCACTGCTTCTCTGGATAAGATCCCACATTCTGCTTGTGATCTTCTCCCTTCATGGTCTTAGGGTTCTCTGTTTCTAGACTGTAAGATTAACTGCTTTCCTATTTTTGTTACAAAACTTCTACCTTTACAATTGTGATAGTCACAAATAGTCATGATAATAATTACTCACTATTGGATCATAAGAATCTTATCCCCATATCTTCTTACCAGACCCATCTAGACAAGATGAAACTATTCAGTGGGGACTCTACCTTCCCCCTACACATTCTTAAACTAAACTCCCTCTTGAAACCTTGGTAAGCTAGTGCCTTTATTGCCCCCTCATTTTAGGTAGCCAATGTGTAAGTTGCCCATCCCTATCTACCCTGTAAACAGAGGGGCTAGCATTGATAATTGATGTGAAGAGTCCTTCCCTCTCTGTTGGTATTTTGAGCTACTACTTCCATGAGTATAGGTTAAGTTCATCAAATTGTAGCAATTTACCCTCACTTCCTTTATCAAAAATGTTTTTTTTTTGTTTTTTTGTTTTTTCATCTTCCCCTTGTTGAGTTCTGGAGTCCTGGTGTGGCGCTGTGAGCTAATGCGTCAGACTACAAAGTCGTTTGAACTGCAAGGTCAGTTCAAGCTTACCAGCTGCTCCTTGGGAATCCAATATGGGGTCACTATGGGTTGGAATCGACTCGAGGGCACTTAACAACAATAAGAAGTGTGGCGCTATAGGGTCAGCACTGGACTACTAACCATAAGGGTGTGGTGCTGGGGGTTAATGCACTGGACTGCAAAGTTGGGTTTAACCGCAAGGTCAGCGGTTTAAGCTCACTAGCCACTCCTCGAACCCTACACTGGGTCCCTATGGGTCAGAACAAACTCAACGGCATTTAACAACAAAAATGTGATAGCGGGAGTCCTGGAGCGGTGCTGTAGGATTAAAGCACTGGACCGTAAGGCCATTTGAACCACACGGTTGGTTCAAAACCAAAACAGGGTTTCCAAGGAATGGCTGGTGGTGTTTGAACTGTCAACCATGCGGTTAACAGTCCAGTGCTTATGCTGCAACACCACACCAGGACATGTTACTGTAAAAACTAGGTTGAATGCTTTGGTAAAACTTGACATAAAGGAGTTTACTTCAAAAAACAAAACTACAGTCAAAGTAGATATAGGTAAGACAACTGTAAAAGGCTGGGGGAAGTGTAAAGTCTAGAAGGATTTACATTCATATTGTTTAAGTTCTTGCTCCTTTTTAAAGAAACCAAAATTTAAAACCTAAACTAATTTATGGCTTTAATTCTCAAGATAAAAGAAAGCAGATGCTCAAGTAGCATCACATACTCATAGAAAAGGTGTGTGTTGGCTCTGTAGAATAAGTACTGGACTGTGAATCACAAAGTTGGTGGTTCAAGCCCACCAGCCACTCCTGCAAAGATTCACAGCCTTGACAATCCTATGCAAGGTCACTCCCGGATCAAGTGCACTTAACAATAACAACAACTCAAAGTAAAGGCCTCATCCTACATGTACACTGGTGACTCAATGTGCATTTACAAGATACAAGATAAAGCACTGAAGGCATACAGGAATGCAAACTGCTATCATTTTTTTATTTGCTACTTTTAATCTAATTGACCAACAGCTAGTCCTTTCATATGGGCTACAGGGGAGTTTACTGTATAAAGCGGAACGTATTAAAGGTTATAAGACTGAGACAAAGACTATTAGGATCAAAGACGAAACAGAAGAGACTATATCTAGCTGGAATCAAACAAGAGCTTTGTAGAGAAAAAAAAGTAACGATGCTAAAATGGTCTTTGTACTGGATAGACATTATTTAAATAGTATAATTTAGACTGGGAAGAGAAGAGGCAAGTCCTGAGGATGGTACTGCAAGTCAAAGGTGCTATTAGAAGCTGAGGCTTGAATTTTTTCAGTTCTTTCAGCTTGAGAAATGCTGAGCATGTTCTTCCCTTTCAGTTTTTGCATTTTGTCATAATACTTTACTTTGTCTTGAGCTTCCCTCTTGCATTTTCTAATCAGCTCTTTTACTTTCTATTTCTTTCAGTTACTTTAGAATCCCTACCCTCAAGAGAGCAAGTTTCAGAGTCTCTTCTGACATCCATTTTGGTCTTTTCTTTCCAGCATCACAGTAAAACACAAGCCATCACAATATGACAAACTGACAAGACTGCATTTTACATTTGCTCTGATATTTTCTAAAAGATCTAGATAGCAAATTTACTTTGAATAAAATTTAAAACACTGTTTCTTGGTAAACCAATAACAAAATGTTTGCAAGTTGGAAGGTACCCAAGGCTTGAAAATACACAAATATCTGCTTTAAGGTGGGCTCCCCAAATCACGTATCTCAAGTTAAGATATACTGTATATTGAAGAACTGAAGGAGAATAATCCTGTGATCGTTTTCACAAGTTAAGAGAATCCCTAGTCAGAACACTTCAAAGTAATAAGTATGGAGGAAGGGAGCTTATTAGTACTGGCATGTAAATAATGAGATTAGGCATGTTAGGAAGTTATTAGACATCAGGAAGTTATGGGCAATTATTTCTACAAGGCCACTCTGGATCAGTTGAATGTGGAAGCCTTTAAAAGCACTTCCAACACAGCTATAAAAAAGCACAGGAGAGAGGGCCAGTAACCAAGATTTTGGACTGATCTTTGAAACGTTTGAAGCAACTCTCCTACTGCCTCTGATATCACTCTGTGTATTCTATCTGGAAAAGAACTGAAGGAATATTTCCATTCATTGAGCAAGTGCACTTTTTAAAAGGTAAACAATTTTTAATATTCCTTTCTTCTCATTTAAAATCATTTTCCAAGCGAATGTTTGTTTTTTTTTTTTGAGGCAGGGATGATTTTCAAGGTGAGCCACTCGGCATCTAAACAAACTGGTTAGGCAGAGCTGCTATCACTGTTTATTAAGAGTTTTATCTGTTTATCCAATATGCTTGAAATTACATATATGTCTAGTATGATGGGAATTCCCCATCTGGGAATAAGACTAAGAAACTCTAAATACAAATTCAATTTCCTCACCTATAGTATAGCTCTTTAACTTCTCTCCTATTTTCCCTTCACTTTAAAAATAATGTGGTGATTAAAACAATAAGCTTATCTTTTTGTTATGTTTATGGATTAACCCTGGTATGGCACTAGCATAAGCACTGAACAGCAAGGTCAATCTGAACTGCAAGGTCAATGGTTCAAACCCATCAGCAGCTCCTTAGAAGAATAACCCTCTGGTTGCTTTCACAAGTTAAGAGCATCCCTAGTCAGAACACTTTAAAGTAATAAGTATGAAGGAAGGGAGCTTATTAGTACTGGCATGTAAGTAATGAGATTAGGTATGCGAGGAAGTTATTAGATCTATACAGGATCACTATGAGTCGGAACTGACTCAGCGGCACTTAACACCAATATGGTACAGAACATACTGAAATATGTTTTGACTTTAGGATGATCCCTTTTGGTAGGAGCTCTGGTAGCGTAGTGGTTACGAATCGGGCTGCGAACCTTAAGGTCAGCGGTTCGAAACTACCAGCCGCTCCGCGGGAGAAAGATGAGGCTTTCTACTCCCGTAAAGATTTACACCCTCGGAAACCCTGTACAGGGTCGCTATGGGTCGGAACCGACTCGACGGCACTTAACAACAACAACAACAACATCTTTCATGCAGTAGTAAAAGAGAACACAGATTCCAATGTAGGAAAATAAAGATGAAGAAAGAGTGAAAAAAGCTAGCTTTCAAGCAGCCCCCAGTCTTGTTCAGGGAACTATGTATACATAGAACAAGATAACTGGGGTATCTGTGACTGACAAGGCTGCTTGATGAGGAGTACAAAGATTATGTGTGCAGTATGAAGGAAAATGGTACAATAAAAGATGAAGGTTTCTATGAATGAAATTCTACAGAAGCCATGATCAAAGAAGTAACCTAGTGAATGGGTGAAAGTTCTAAAAACAAACCTCTGTATAATGTTTTAATGTTTACAAAGTAATTTCACAAGTTATCAATCCACCTTTATTTCAGACTATAGGTTCCTTTTAAATTGTTATATTAAAAATGTAATTAATCAACATAAAAACTTCCTAAATACAGATGTGGACATGAAACTATAGAAAACAGACATAATTTCTATTTCCAAAGTCGCTTTCAAAAATAAAAGCCTGAATAAAACTGGGAAATAAAATGACTTTTATAAGAAATTATAAAGTGATACTGTATTATAATAATAAAAGAGAGGGGACAATAAAATCATAGGTCTGCAATAGTTTGTTTAGTCAGCCCCTCATTCCAAGATGCTACTCAGTTTTAGCTACTGCACTTGAAATTGGAGGGAATTCAAATACAACAGCAAAAGTGATTAACTAGATACAAAACAACTCCTTCCTGGAAAGATGAACTCTCCCAGAGAAGACATAGACTACAGTCAAATAGTGCCAAATACTGGGC